TCGAGTCGGAGTCGGAGTCGATTTTGGAAACCGGATCTGGAGTCGGAGTTGGAGTCACCGAAAATCAATCGACTCCGCAGTCCTGGCAGTGCTGCGGAGTCGGAGTCGGGAGTTGGAGTCGGTCGGAGTCGACAGTTCTGCGCGGAGTCGGAGTCGGGGTCGGAGTTGGTTTTTGAAAGTCGGAGTCGGAGTCAGAGTCGCCGAAAATCCATCGACTCCGCAGCCCTGAGTCACATGCCATTTTCCACAAACAAAACTTTCCGTGCTTGCATGCCACCCTCAAAAAAAAAAAACTTACGTGCTTCCATGTCTTGCATGTGTGCTTGCATGCCACCTTAAAGGGACTATCTCACATTTACATTAGGTTTGAGTTGAGATAGCCAAGTTTGCGGCGAGGCCCAGAAACCACTATCTATCTTGGTTGCAACCGCCGCGGCCTCGTGGTGTTGAAGAAATTCGTTCCCTTCATTTGAAAATGAGCCCTGCGCAAGGCCCAGTCTCTTAACCATTAACGGTAATCTGATGACGCCATTTGCCTTTTGAACGCCTGGTCAAGTGAAGTATCACTTGATTTACGAATAAGCCAATCAGAGACACTTTTGATATTGTATGAGCCGAGTCATATTTGAGAGCAAATACCTATATTTGCTGCCAAATTTCCCCCACACTGACATGAAGTAAATCCTTCATTACGTCACAGATCCGATCTAAATGACGTCACGATGAAATATAAAAGTCGCAATATCTCAAAAAGTATACGATGAAAACGCGTAAAAACTTGCAGAATTCGTCACAATATCATGAGTAACATTTCCGAATCCTAAACGGGACTTTTTTGAAGGTGGGATAGTCCCTTTAAATTCATTTTTTTTTTTAATGCATTCGTGTTTCCATGTACTGCATGTGTGCTCGCATGGTCTTTTTGAGAATGCATGTACCTCATTTCTTCTTTAGTTAAATTTGTTGGTTATGGCAGGTTTTGGGACGTCAATATCTTGTACTTTGGGCAAAAATGTACACTTGAACCAGTTCCATTTCTTTTGAAAGCTAATCCTAATTGCGTCAAGACACGTACAATGACCAGCTGCATCAGGCTGTTATCTACGTTCGGCTTTTGATCCCCCGATATAAACGTGTCAGTAATATAATAAGTCTATCTTAACCAGTTCCACGAACGTATTGTGCAAACTAAGTGTAATTACGTCAAGAAAGGTACAAAAGCGAGTTGCATCAGATTCCTAGCTCCGTTTGGGTTCTGATCCCCGATATAACCGTTTTTAGTGGCTGCAACGTCTAAATCTGAAACTTCAAAGAAGCGTTCTAATGACCTATCTCATTGATATCCATTCAGCAAACTTTTCGCCAAATTTGAAGTAGTCACTATCTAATTGAGTAATATTCTTTTAAAAGTTTTTCTTGAGGTAAATGACGTCCGATTTTAAATTGAAGCTATAGACGCATTCATCAACTATTCGCAAAAAAGCAATGTATGTTACGTAAGGCTAGGTGGTGCTGACTCGTCCTGAGTAGCTGACCCATTATCAGTTTTGATGTTGAACAATAAGGTAAACCATTCATAATGAATGGAGTGGCTTGCATTGCCACAGGCAAAATTTATGGGGGCGGACAGTGGGAATATCGGCTATTGCTGCCAATGCCATTGGCAGGGTAAATAATATTCACCTGCTACAGCAGATCTGTGTTTGCCGATATGCCACACTGTGGGATGCCTCCTCGTGGCGCCCCCGGAGAGATGGTTGCCTGACTTCGAATGAAGTTCACATAGCAGTTCGCTGCATAATTATTTTTTTAGTTTCTATTTTGTCTGTTTGAAAAGTGGTTATAAGATCAATGCAGAACGTCTCATACGATCATAAATGTACGACTTGTATTGCGCTTTATAATGAGACTTCTTGACGCTTGATAATTGTTGATACCCAGCACGTTTCTAGCAGCTAACTGTTGTTAAAAATAACTTTCGCACGCAACCATCTCACTAAACGTATCCCGCTATCTCAAGCTATTCTTAGTGTTTGTTGTATTCATTACTACACGCAAATAGCATACAGGATATACCTATCTCCAAAATTATGCCACGTGCCAGGACAGACGGGACAGACCGTTGCCGGGCAATACAATAAGACATTTTTATACGGCTACCACATGGTATGGGTCAGATATGGGGCGATTGAAAAGCACGTGCCACGTGGAAACGTGTTTGATGAGGAACTTCGTGGAAAATCCGAGGATGCGCTTTGATTGAGGGTGGCTGCTTAAACGGCAGAAATAAATGCACCACACTTGCCGCACGGCGCCATATTTGTCTTAATAGGTCAGTGTTTGCGTTTTGCGGACGGCGTGTGTTTTTTGCGGCGGGGTTTGCGTTTGGTGGCGGGCGGGACTTTTCCGTTTTTTTGTGGTGTTTGCGTTTCGCGGCGGGCGGCCGTTTTTGCGGCGTTTTGCGGTTGGCGGCGGGCGGGCGTTTTTGCGACGGTATTTGCGTTTTTTGCGTTGTTTGTGTTTGGCGGCGGGCGGCAGTTTGAGGCGGGCGGCGTTTTGCGGTTTGCGGTTGCCGGCGGGCGGCCGTTTTTTGCGGTGTTTTGCGGTTTGCGGCGGGCGGCCGTTTTTTGCAGCGTTTTGCGGTTGCCGGTGGGCGGGCGTTTTTGCGACGGTATTTGCGTTTTTTGCGTTGTTTGTGTTTGGCGGCGGGCGGCGGTTCGCGGCGGGCGGCCGTTTTTTTGCGGCAGTTTGAGGCGGGCGGCGTTTTGCGGTATGCGGTTGCCGGCGGGCGGCCGTTTTTTTTGCAGCGTTTTGCGGTTGCCGGTGGGCGGCCGTTTTTTTCGGCGTTTTGCGGTTAGCGGCGGACGGCCGTTTTTTGCGGCGTTTTGCGGTTAGCGGCGGGCGGCCGTTTTTTTTGCGGCGTTTTGCGGTTGGCAGCGGGCGTTTTTTTGCGGCGGCGGTGTTTGCGTTTTTTTGCGGTGTTTGTGTTTTGCGGCGGACGGGCGTTTTTTGGCGTGCGTGTTTGGCGTGGCGTGTTTTTTTTGCGGCATTTGCGTTGGCGTTTTGGGCGTGCGTTTTGCGCGTTTTGCGGTGTTTGCGTTTGGCGGCGGGCGGGCGGTTTTTCACAATTAAAGTCCCAACCTTCGGATCCGCAGAGCTGTTCGACAAGCGCTGCCCGGGCCTATCCGAAGGTTGGGACTTTTCAATTAAGAACAATCACTATTCTTTAGAATTGTGATTTTCTATTGAAAATCCCAACCTGAGCTACCTCTCTAGGGGGGTGTTTAGTGTTTCTGCCGCGATTTTGGACATTTTGATCGCCACCGAAACGGCTCGGTAGATTTTCTTGCCATTTTCAGCGTTTGGTCCCGTGTGGGGGAGCTACCGGCTGGTACCAGTCGCTTGAAATATAATTAACCCATTTTGGGGTAATCGGCACGTGCATTTTCCCATAGGGTTAACATGGGGAAAAATTTAAAATGCGATTTACGGAAAATCTGTTCAGTAATATTTGTCCACTTTTTTAGGGTCAGTTCTTGGGCTGGCACCTCACCTTCTGGGGGTAATTATTTAAAAATCATAGGGTACAGTTTCGGGTAATCGTGACGGACAGTTACCCCATGTTGAGCCTATGGCGATTTCGAAAAATTATTTTCAAATCGATTTTGCAAAAAATTTCCACGTTAGATTTGGAAAATTTTCCAATATGTTGTGCCCCGGGGTGTCAGCTACCACATGGTATGGGTCAGATATGGGGCGATTGAAAAGCACGTGCCACGTGCAAACGTGTTTGATGGGGGAACCTCGTGGAAAATCCGACATTGACCAACTTGGGGTCCTATGGCTCAAAAACCACTCCCCCTAGTGACACCAAATAAGTGCAGCCGGTGAGCAGATGAGTCCAGCTTGTCGCACCAGTGGTCACGTGGCGCACGTGCTATTGCACGTGCCGTGGCACGTGGTCAATTTTTGTGCTTAAATACACCAACATTGTTAAATGCAAGGAATGGGGGAAATGGCCGTCAGGCTGTCAGTTTTTATGATAGAGTCAATCTGAAAACGGGTATAGACACAAAATGAAGAGGTCTAAAACACTGCTATCTCGGATTTTTTGTAAAATGAAAAATTCAAAATTCTGGGGGAATTATATATTCGAAAGGTGAAATTTCCCTAAATTTTCCCGTTTTTCGAGTTTAGCCGTCCACTGTTCAGGGACGGTGACACCGGCCGGGGTCATCTTTTATATGCTGATGGCCACGTCGATGGGTCATCACGTGGCGTGAACGGTGAAGCTATCAATGGTCCGGCACGTGTCACGTGGCCACGTGTTTGAGTCGCGTACCTTCCAGATTATCGTGTGTTTGCCGATTTGTGGCCTTATAGCACGAAAACAGCACAAGCCAGGAACAATGAAATTGTGCAATCAGTGAGGGGACAAGTCCTGCTTGCACCACCGGTGGTCACGTGGCACACGTGCAAATTTGGTCACCTCCGTTGCGGAGATATTTTATAGTGAAATATTCAAATGTACATAACTTTGTCAGTTTCAGTCCGATTGGGCTAGAATTTGGTGGGTGGATGAATTGTTAAGCGACATGAACGAATGCGCCATGTTTGTTGCAGAGCGCCACGTTTGTCTCAAAGCGCCATTTTTGCCGCAAAGCGCAGAATGTGCGTAACTTTGTCGAACATTGGACAATTAGGATGCGCTGTAATTAAGAGATGGCTGCTTAAACGGCAGATATAAATGCACCACATTTGCCGCAGGGCGCCATATTTGTCTTAATGCGTCAGTGTTTGTGTTTTGCCTACGGCGGGCGTTTTTTGCGTCGGTGTTTGCGTTTTTTTTCGGTGTTTGCGTTTGACGGCGGGCGGCCGTTTTAGCGTTTTTGGCGGCGTTTGCGTTTGGCGGCGGGCGGCCGTTTTTTTTGCGGCGTTTTGCGGTTGGCGGCGGGCGTGCGTGCTTTGCGGGCGTTTTTTTCGGCGGTGTTTGCGTTTTTTTTGCGGTTTTTGTGTTTGGCGGCGGGCGGGCGGACGATGCGGGTGTTTTTGCGGTGCTTGCGTTTGGCGGCGGGCGGCTGTTTTAGCGGCGGTTTGCGGCGGGCGGCCGTTTTTGCGGCGTTTTTTGTGGTTTGCGGCGGGCGGCCGTTTTTTGCGGCGTTTTGCGGTTGCCGGCGGCCGGGCGTTAATTGCGGTGTTGCGGTTTGCGGCAGACGGCCGTTTTTTTGCGGCGCTTCGCCGTTGGCGGCGGGCGATGCGGGCGTTTTTTGTGGCGGCGGTGTTTGCGTTTTTTGCGGTGCTTGCGTTTTGCGGCGGACGGGCGTTTTTGCGGCGTTTTTTGCGTTTTTTCTGCGGTTTTCGGCGGGCGGGCGATTGTTTTTTTTTTTAGAAGTTTGCGTTGGCGTTTTGGGCGTGTTTTTTGCGGTTTTGCGTTTTGCGGCGGGCGGGCGGTTTTTCACAATTAAAGTCCCAACCTTCGGATCCGCAGTGCTGTTCGACAAGCGCTGCCCGGGCCTACACCTTTCGTTGTATTTGATGCATTGGAAATGCACAAATACCCAAAGAGTTCCAGGACGGTATGGAATTTCAGTAAACTTGGTTGTGTCAGCAATGGGGTCTGGTAGGTGGGGGTAATGGCCCTGCCTGGCGCCCAAAAAGGGGGCACGGCCCCGAATGACCTGCCGACCACTGCTATAAACCTATGCAGCGTCAATAAGTGCCAGGAAAACGATCGATACAATTATTGTCATGCCTGAATGGTCATTCAATGAATGAATGGATGAAAGGATGAATGAATGAATGAATGAATGAATGAATGAATGAATGAATGAATGAATGAATGAATGAATGAAAGAAAGAATGAATTGATCAATCAATCAAACAATTTTAACTTATTCAATAATCTACACACGCTAGCAGCATCGCACGCTTCTCTCCCACGTCCAAAGCAGTCCTTTTTGAAACCCACCATCAAGCCCCAGTACTCCAAAACACCCACCCACCTGGCACCATGGGTGGAGAACCTGCCCCGGCCACCCCGGCCGTGGCCGGGGTAACTTTCAGCCTACCCCGGCGCGGCCGGGGTAACTTTGTCCACTTTTGTGAATCCTAAAAGCTATCTCCATGCGAAAAACTGCCACCTATAAAAGTGTCTCTCATTATTCTTATCTACCTTGAAAGGTTTTTAAAAATTTACTTTATTTTCATTTTGGAGCTTCTATGCTCTCAATTTTTTTCATCGCGCAGCCCGACAAGTTTCATCTAACAAACCTAAATCATATTTAAGGGCCGTTATCGTAAGATGGCACTGCAATGTCATCACAAGAGAGGACGAGGGTAATATCAGTGAGATAGAAGGACGAGCTGTTGGGGGCTGGGGCTCAAGGCTCCTCCAACTTAACCCGCGCGGGGCTGGGGTCTCCAGTCGAGCGCGCGGGGCTGGGGGGGGGTAAATTTTACCCCCCCCCCTGTTATCTCCCGAACTAATGGTCCGATTTGGAAAATTCAAACGCCAATCGAAAGATCTCATCACGAACAACTAGAAACATGTACTTAATTTTAAGTTTGAGGTCAAGGTCAAGTCAAGGGTACAAATTGCAAGTTCCTACAGTATCGGCCTTGCACCGTAGTTGCCGAAGAATGGAGTCATGGACTGAGACTGATCGCCCAAAACGTGTTCTTAGGCTACCAAGACAATAATCGTTGCATTCAATATCATTCAGAGGTCAAGGTCAGGTCAGGTCAGGTCAGGTCACCAAAAACAAAATATAGAAAAGGGCATGTGCGACACATGTTTTATGGGTCATTTTAATCATAGAATTCAATAGGCACACTCAATAAGTGATATGGACCACCTCTGGATGAATTTCAGGTCAAGGTCAGGTCAAGGTCAGGTCAAGTGAGGTCAAATTTTGAAGTTGGTTGTTAAGGCCTAAAAAGGTGTCTATCTGATGCAGTTTTTCACGGCGAATCGAATGGTGCTATTTTTGTTTCCGTACGAGGTCTAGAACTTCCAAAAAAGTAATTTTTCAAAAAATTTGTGTGTCGTGACGTCATAAAATGTTGAATAACTCCCACATTTTTGAACCGATTCTTCTAAAAATTGGTATGTAGGTGCACATAGACCACTTCTCTGACATACATTCCGGTTTTTTCGATACACTCAAAATTTTGGATTTTATAATTATTTTCCCAAAAAAGTCAATTTTTTGGAAAAATTTTGATCAAAATCCAAAATTTTCAAAAAACCGAGATAGCCATTTGATAGACAAAGTAGAATTACGTATATCCTTTTTTGTTACGTCTTGATTCCTTTAAAAATGAAGATGTTAGCGGCGTTTGAACTTTTGCCGTTTTTGAGGCGAAAATGGCGAACATGACGTCACTAAAACGTCAATTTCTCAAAAATTTTCCGACAGATTTCGCTCAAATTTTCAGGGAAGGTGTCAAATTGATGTAAGAAAAGGTACTGAAAGTTTGGCGGCGCTGCGCGCCGCTGTTTTTGAGATATTGCGAAAATTCGCGAGGGGGGGGTAAAATTTACCCCCCAGCCCCGCGCGGGTTAACCCGCGCCAGGGTGGTGACCCTATCGTAACACGTTGAGTCGAGCGGTCGGCGTTTCACGCTCCTTCTAACTCGGCTGCTGGGCTACGAGGCGAAAAGCGGAACGACGTTTGAAAGAGGGACAAACGTGATCAGAGAAATCTGGTCAAGTTTTAGGCAAGCTCAATCATAAAATCACCATAGATAATAAAAGCCAAATTTCTCTGATTTTAGCGTTCTCCAACGACTTTTCTCAAAGTTCATAACATGAGCCTGTCCCGTAGCTCAGTTGGTAGAGGCAACGGACTCCCGAGAGCCCGGGTTCGAGTCGCTCCGGCGCTCGATATTTGAGACTCCTGACGGTGATGGTCTGCGGTTGGTGGGAGCAGCCGCAGCCAGTTGAAGTCAGTTGAGTGGGACAGGCCGTGTCCGGCTTTGAAGGGCACATTAAACTTTGGCATCTAAATTATCCCGTTACCCGGAATTGCGCGATCGGACGGTAGGGTTCGGGGTCTAACTACGCAACAAGCTCTGCTTAGCGTGGGCCCCCGGCTCTGTCAATCGGTCCATTCAAAAATTCGAGCTAAATCACTGCAAATAAAACATTGGATAACTCGTAACGGCAGACATCCATTGTTCCATGCCACAGAATAGGGGTTTGTGATAACCGTTGACAAATATTTGTGCATCATCGTCTTTCTGACTTTCGGTCGCCGGCCGGGGTAACTTTTTCAAACATTCTCCACCCATGCCTGGCACCTACCCACCACCCTCGTCCCGTCTCACCCCTTCATGATGCTGCCGACATAGATGCCGCCGTCGCCGCCCTTGTTGCTCTGTCCGACGATGCTGATGCCGAGGAAGTTGACCGTGTCCATGTTCAGCGTCACCGTGATGATGTTGAGCGTCATCGTCGAGTCGGTGATGGAGCTGAAGGAGGAGGTGCGCGACATGCCCGGCTGGCCGCGCTGCGGCCGCGGCTTCCTTCGCCGGTGCCGCCGGTGCACGCGAGACACCGAGGTGCTCCCTGGTGGGCGGAGGGGGAGGGGGGAGGTGTTAGAGCGTGACGAGCGTAAACACATCTGGGGATTCCAGGGCAGCCGGGAGGGGTTGGAGGGCCAAAAAAAGAGTCAACACATTTGGGGAACTCCAGAGAGCGATAATGATGATGATGATGATGAATTGGGGTTTTTGGGCGCCCGGACCACAGTAGTCATCGGCGCCCACCAGGAAGATTAGAGAATGTGGGGCTCAAGGGAAAAACAAACCCAAAACGCTACGGTGGACAGTGAATGGAGACGCTGTTAGACAAGAAAATTTTGGGTTCCAAACTAAGGAAGAACAGCGGAGAGGAAGAGGCGTAGCGGTAAGACACGACAGACAATGGCATACAGTGGGTTCGCGACTTATGAAATCCTAAAAGGGAAGAGGAGCCAGCAGGAATGATGATCCCCAAGTACTATCTACTATTATGCAGATTATCAAGACGCAGATACGCTGAAGCCCTACCTCACTTCACACAAAGAGAATGGCTGTATTTTTTTTTCGCTGGTAGAACAGTTGCGATAAATAAGGCTGTTGATTGGGCTGGATGAGGTTCCCTAGTTCCAACCTGCAGAACATCATTCATTGCTATAGAACCACTGTGCAGTGTGCCCTCCAGCCATTTTAAACAACAGTAGTGCCAGCGACACGCCCCAGCACCACAGCTGACCATCCGCACAAATCTGCGGAATGTTTGCCCAGACGGAGCTGCACGCGCCAGTCACTGCAGGGCGCTATCGGACAGGGCCGTCAACAATCTGAGGTCAGTGTAAACGGCCCATCGATTAACACTACAACAGCTGACGGTCAGACTGGAGACTGGGCTGAGCGGCCACAGAGAGCGCTGAGGTGATCCACTTCCGCAGAGCCCTGCCAAAAGGACCGAGTCTCGTGTCGTCTAGCCCTTCCCGGGACTCTAACCAATTCCACCTTCCAGGGCGGTCGAATGCGGAGATCCTATCGTGGCTTGTTTGGTCCCCGTCGGTGTTTCAAAGATTCTACTCTTCACGATATCGTCCCATCTCAGTCCTCACATCTCACTCAATGCATCCTAATGCACTGTGCTTCATCGTTACAGGCCACAGTCACTACGACGTCCGACCCTTTTTACTGTCCCACTCCGATGTCCAACGCCACAGTCCAACATCCCATCTGACTATCCCACCCCATAAGACGGTCCCATCCCAAAATACCCACCTCAGCGCCTCACCGTACCTGTGGTGGATGTGATGCGACTCGAGCCGTCGTCCTCCGAGTCGAAGAAGCTGGTTGACTCCAGGTCCGAGCTGAGCATGGAGCTGTTGTCGTACAGACGCGCCCGGTGCCGCGCGTGCCCGTTCAGCTTCTCACCGGCTGCGGGAGGCACGGACACATAACACGGTAAGGGGCGCACATCGATAGAGAATACATGGGAACGGGGTGCGTGATGGTCTACGCAGGGGATGAGTGAAAAGTGGATGTAGTTAAATGCAGGGTATGACTAGCTCAAGATAATCAAACATAACATTTTTAGTAAATTAACAGAAATTTCTGAAAGGACTACAAAGAAAATTCTTCAAATCAATAGACAACCAATCATTTGGAAGGGTAAGATGATAGCCAAGATGCTTTGATTATAAAATAAATTTGACAACAAAAAGGTCGCCATCACCAACCCAAGAAACACAATCTCCGGATATTGAGACCTGTAACGGTCAGAAGCATGCTTATCAAAACCAAAGCAGCCCAGGCCCAGACCAGGACAAGTCATATCTAGCAAAGCCAAGGCATGCATCAATTCCTCCGAGGTTCTGTTCTTCGGTGGCACCATCAGATCGCGCGTGCACCGGGGTTATCTCAGTTCAGTGGCCCCCAAACCTATCTACCGGCCGGGGGCAGTGGGAGACGGTCTGAGTCGTCACGGCCCGCCGGCTGAGAGTCTGCAGCCGATGGACCTCCGCAGCAGCCGGCGCTATCCGCTCCGTACGACCTCAGCACCGCTCAGCTCCGTTACCAGCCGTTACCATCCGTTACCAGCCGTATACCGTCCATTACCAGTCATAACTCCACTGTTACACGGCCGGTGAGCGGCAGAGGAGCGCACCAGCCGCCGCCGGCGATCGTGCAGAGTGAGGAGTGGTCAATGGTCATTATCCACCCGCGGACGTGACAAGGCCGCCGCGTACTCATTACCGGCACTTAAGCGTGGCTTGCGAGCGGCTGCTGCACTGAGCGCAGAGGCCGGCTAGCGAAGGTTCAGCGGACAGGCCCGTGTTGGTTAACAGGTATTTCAGACGGCTGCAAACACGCCGGTATGTAATAGAGCGGCACGTCCGCGGAGCTGAAATGACGCTACGGATTTGTCCATCCGGCTAGGACACCAGTGGGTCGCTCGTCGCCTATGACGATGATTTGTGATTTTTAGGCGCCTGGACTGCATAGGTCATCGGCACCCATTCATCGTCCATAGCTTCTGTTAGCTTCACAGAGTGAGATGTCAAATGAAACTACCCTCATAACCACACTTTTCGGTCATAGACCACGCTGACACCAAGTTGTGATTGGCCCGACAAACCGACAGAAGCCACCTTTCCACCTATAAAAGCCGATCCACTCTCACCCCACTCACTCCAACGGACGGACAGGCATGTTAGTTTCAGCGCTAGCTCAACTGCAAGCCAGTCATTCCAAGGCACCGAGCGTCTATCCCAGGGAGCAACCATCGCTCCTGGGCATTTTAGTCAGCTCAGCGCTCTCGGCGGGCGCGTTCCTGGCACCTGCCTCGGGCACACTGCACTACACCAGCGTTAGTACGAAGCCGCCGGCGAGCACGCATGCATGCGGCCCGGACCGTCGGCGCTCGAGAGGAGCGCTCACCTGCGTGATACCGACCGGCGGCCGGGGGCGGCCGTAGTGACGGGCCCAGCCGGTGTCCGTGCCCTGTAGGTCGGCACACACAGACAGGCACACATTAACGGGACCGTTAGAGGCATGGCGGCTGCTCTGACGAGCGCATACCAGCCTTGGCAGTGGCAGTGGCAGTGTGAGGGAGATGGAGTTTATGATAATGATGGGGTGTGGTGTGCGATTGTTGTGGAGACGGGCGAATTTGAGCAATGGGTTACTCCGTTCATAATTTGGAGATAAGCATGATCTACCTGTATTTGTGTGCACTAAGCCACCGTCATTACATGAGTAAATAGCACAGTAAAAAGCTGATAATTGAAAGGGGCGGCACAATTATTTGAATGCAGTTGCAGACTGCGGCTATTATGGCCAGCTGCGATCGCATAGCAATGCATGAATGGGCGGGTCCGTAGGCCAACAGTGGACATCCGGACATATTTAGTAGTCTCTGCTCCTTGCCGGCCGGCGTATAATCGCCTGATGACGGTGCGAACATGCATGAGTGAGGGAAGGGGTCTCTGGCAGCGGAGTGGGGGTGAATGTATCGCCTTAGTGGGTGACTGATTGAGCATACACAATACACATGCGTGAGTCATGGGACATGCACCAGTGATACGTGATAGTAGCTAAGAAGATCAAGGAATGCAAACAATAATAAACTCAACGTACCTGAGTGCACGATAGTGAGAAAATAACACCGAAAATTCTGAGAGCGGTAGAAGTCAAAACAAGAACAGCTACCATATGCCCTATCTGATCGTGACATTCGTGCACATCTACACACAAATACGCGATATCGGGAGCACGCTCCTTCAGACATGTGCTTGGATCCGGAAAAATGGATCTGAGATACGATCCCATGGATCCCGATCCGAGATCCATTCAGATCATAGATCCAACCCCTCAATTTTGTCGAGAGATCTACTGGGATCATAGATCTGACCCTTCAATTTTGTCGCTAGATCGACTCGGATCATAGATCTGGCTCCCCAATTTTGTCGTGAGATCCATTGGGATCATAGCTCATAGGTGCTCAAAATGTTAACAACTTTCTTTCATAAGAAGTTATGAATACCAAAGTATGGTTAGAAACAATCTTATACAAAGGCCATATTAGTAAAGGCATCCAGTTACATTATACAGAATACAAAATAAAGGAGGCTCATGACGGTCACAACTTGAGAGAATTTGAATTGAGTGACATGAAGATTGTTCACAGTTCACATACCAACAGAAAAGGTTGCATTAACAATTAACATAGAGGTAAGTCAAAGTAATGACTAATGAACCAGTATAACGCCTTTTGGGGCGACTAACGGAGCGAGCGAGAGGGTGGGCCTTGCACGTGCGAAATTGCGAGGGGGTACCTCCAACTGACTTGTGCACGGCACCCTACTAACTGGTCTCTAGCGATGTGCCAAATTTGGGCACAATCGGCCCAGCCGTTCTCGAGATCTGGAAGCGGCACCCTGCACGTGCGCACGTGCAAAATGGGTCCCAACTGACTTGTGCACGGCACCCTACTAACCGGTCCCTAACCGTGTACCAAATTTGAGCGCAATCGGTCCAGCCGTTCCCGAGATCTGGAAACGACCCCTGCACGTGCGCACGTGCAGCAGCACCCCAACTCTGGCACATGTATATGCAGTGCCTAGTGGGTGCCTACCTACATGCCAACTTTCAGCGAAATCGGCCCAGTAGTTACCGAGATATTGCAACAATTACAAAACTGACACCTCTACGTTTTGCACGTGGCACGTGCATAAGGGGTCACCCACATGCATCGGGAATAGTCCAATACTTGGTAGAAGGAATGAAGCTACCCTACAAAAATTACCGCGTGTAAATCGGTCAAGTGGTTGCTGAGATATTAGCCTCGCAAAAGCATGACCACGGCCGGCCGGCCGGCCGGCCGGCCGGCCGCTCATACTCAGAAATTTCCGTTAATCTAAGGAAAGACTACGCTCGCTTCGCTCGCTCCGTAACAATACATAACTAGGTACCTACCACATCACAATTCATGTTAGAATCTACATAATGATATTGAAAAGACAATCTTGCATTAGACAACCATGAGGCTTTCCAGTTTCCAGCTATCACAATTGATTGTAAACAATAAAAGATGATACTGACACATGTGGCTTGGTTAGGTAAAGGTAATTCAATCTATTGAAAGAAATATTTGATAAAATAAACTGAGATATAAACAAAAGTATAAAAATATTCAACAGCCTGCGCAAGCGATGGGAAGCGAAATATCAATTGTAATGGCCTTGGATATTTACCGTAAAATGATTATTCAGTATCTAAATAGAACTCGTGACGTCATTTCAAATAACAAATGAGCTAGGCGTTCTACCTTCGAGTATAATGAAAATAAATAAAAAATCAAACTGGAAATTCAAAAGTCCATGGAGTTTTTTTAAATTTCATTTTATCTGCCTCACATAATTTTACGATACGATTGTTTGTGAATATCATCTTTGTAGCGTTGAATTTAATGACGTAAGCGTAAGCTGAAATGGTTTTACATGATGGCCCTGAGCGGTGTGCGCCTTGCATCTTTATTTTATTCACTTTTCAAAAGAATAACAATATCTTACGTCATTAGTTTAAAGGGCCTATTACGGGGAATCTTTTGGAATTATTACGGTTTTGGTCAAATTAAGATTTTTCATTGGTCAAACGATAATGACGTAATAAAACCATATTACCAAAACGTGAGCTGTGAATTTCGTTTGTCTTTTTTTGGGAGGCTCTCTCATAACAAAATCAGCATGGCACCACACGTGGCACGATGCCAAAAGTAGGTAATCTGAAGAAGTTGATGCCATTTTTGAACTTGTAATTTTATTACGAAAGTATTAGAGGTTGGTTGCTATTCTTACTAAATCGAAATTGTGTTGCACATACTAATAGCTGGATAGCTCATACGAACATTCTGGATGGGATTTCATCAGGTGAGTTAAACCTGGCAGAAGTGGATTGCTGGATTATTTTTAACAAAACTGACCTATTTGGCTTCCAGGTTTGATATCCTAACATCTGTCCATAGGCGGCAGAACAGGGGGGGGGGGTGGCACCAGGGTACAGTGCCCCCCATAGATTTTGGCATTTTAACATATAGCCCTACTGGCGTTGCATGGAAAGAATGGGACCACAATGAAAATCTGCAGTGCCCTGCTGCCACTGCATCTGTCTGTACTGTTTGTTCATTGAATTTAAGTGGCTGTAGCTTGTTGATAAGATTGTCATCAGTGCTGTCATGAAAAAGTTACAATTGGTCACAAAAAGTAGCAAATGTTGTTTATTTAAATTCAAATTTAATGATCATACCTAATGATTACAAGTGGTCTTAACCAATAACCATGTCCACAAGTGATAATTCTCAATTCTATTGCACTGTAAGGTGTACAATTATGTAGGATAAGGGTTTCATTGGCTAAATGTTGTCGTGAGATCCATACAGATCATAGGTCCTCCACAAATTTTTGCCCGCTGGATCCACAGAGATCATGGATCCGACCCCTAAATTTTGTCGAGAGATCCATTCGGATCATAGATCCAACCCCTGAATTTTGTCGAGAGATCCACTTGGATCATAGATCCAACCTCTCTATTTTGTCGAGAGATCCACTGAGATCATAGATCCAGCTCTCGGATCCAAGCACATGTCTGCGCTCCTTCCTACACAGTACACAAGACCAAGTCCATTTCATCAAACTCAGCGCTAGGCGAACGAAACAAACATGACTCAGGATCATTATAGCTACGCAGAATACTGGGTCAGTGTCAGGACTCAGGAATCAAGGTCGCAACCAGGGGTCATCGTCATTCGTCAGGTTCATGAAGCAGGGCCAGAGATTCAGGAGCATGGGATGGCCTGGGGGTCAGGGTATCATAAGTCTTCGTCTGGGATCAACCGTCCGATTCTAAGATCAGTATTATTGTAAGGGCGCTGTCTTGTAGGAAGCTGACAGGACCAGAGAAGGGCCGGAGCTAAAGAACTGTTTGACGGGATGGATATCGGTGCCAGTGTCGACGTCATCGTCGACATCGTCGTCGCGCACCTCTGACGCCGCTGACGGTCGACTCTGTCTCTGTGGCGTCTCCCGGGGGCCTGGCCAGCTCTGACATGGCGCCCACCGGGTCACCGCACTGGGAGCCGTCGATGGTGCTGCCGTCTGCCGACACCAGCTGAAAACGCAGAGCCAACAACATGACAGTCAGCGAGCAAGACTGATGTGATAGAACGACAAGGCTGAATGACAACTACAAAACTGGCAGGATGTCGAACCGGCTCGGTTGCTGCGGGGCTAAAATGATCACAGTCCGCAGGGCACTTTGAAGACATTACGGCGTAAAAAAAAACTGTGGTGGGAAGCAGCTCCGAAACATCAGGTAAGCATAAATAGGTAGGTAAGACAAACTTCAGCAAGGTGTTCGATAATGTCAAGTTCCCTATTCCAACTGACGACACAACTTCCGCCGATCAGTCGCTGTGCACCGAATGTATGTACTGCTGGTCTGAGGAAAGGCACTGCCACAGTCCCATTCATCGAACTAACTGCCTGCACGGTAATGCAAGGTTGCCGCAATACAAAAACGACCGATTACGAACAATGAAAGACAACTCGAAGACATGAATGGGCGATTATGAACAATGATTTCTAATTCAGTCGAGTTTCCTTATCAGGAATGCCACACCCCACACAATTATAAGCTTTCAACACCGCATAATGTCTACACTCCACCACCATAGCAATAGCCCCACTCACTATTCAGCGCCCACCCAGCGGGAGTACCATAGGGAAGCAGCCGTTGGGCTCGTAGAATACCAGCGCCAAACACATTATTCAAAGCTAACCCTACAACCTAATCTCCACGCTGCTAGTTACCCAATAAGTCTAGACAGGCTGACTGATCGGCATCCATACTCCACTGGACAGACCCATTACCCATATCACGACCCAGGGACCCATTGAAATAACCACGCTCACACCCTTCCCAAACCCACACCCAAATCCTCCCGATGCATACCCACGATACGACGCGTCCGTTGATACATGGCAGGTGCGCTTCATCATCAATTATCTCCTCCTTAACGATCCTGCAACAAAGACAGAGAGCGGACACACGTCAGGAGAGAGTGGCGGGCGGACCTGGCAGAGGGCGGGGGCGATCCATCAGCCGTCTGGCGCCGAGGGCTGTCGCACCTCCTCCGCCGGCGGCGCCTCAGGGCAGCGCCGGCGGAACGGGTGGCGAGTCTGTGGGTTGCAGAGGCAGGGCTGAGCTGGTATGCTATCAGGGGAAGCTGGTATGTTATCCGGGGAGAGATACGAGGCGGTTATCGGCATCGAAAATGTTGAGATATCGTATGACCCGGTTATGTCGTGCATTATCCATTGTTTTACATCTACTAGGCGCACGTTTAATTACCATTCAATATAAACGAAAAAAATGTGATGGGCAATAACTCACTGATATTCAATTATTTATTCAATTATCAAGGGATAAAGGCGAACACATCGATATATCGAAAGATACGACATTGCACGATAAGGAGGAGAATAACTGCAGCAGAATACCGCAGGATAGTAGCATAACTGTTAGCCGGTAGTCATGGCTGACGTGGCCTGGTCAGCGCGACAGCGTACGGAGATTATCTGCCGTGAGATTATCCTGATCACTGCATGATAAGGAGAATGATAGCGATATGACTGGCCTGTGAGCGGGCGAGCTGATCCGACAACAAGTAACACGTGCACCGTGACTGGCTAGCACCATCCCAGCACGGCCCCAGCGAGCGTCCAGCCGTCCCCAGTCCCCCGCGGTGCTGACCGTGCATTCACAGTCTGTACACAAACAGCTCGTCTCTGCTGTCACAGGGGCAGCAGCAGTACCAGCAGGCCCATCAACAAATGGCCAGTCTGGCGGCGATCAATAACCCGTCCCAGTGAGACCGAGAGCGGCCTCAGGCGGTTCTCGGAACACGGTCGTCCGTTCCGAGCGCCCGCCGGTCGGTTGGTTGGTTGGTCGGTCAGAGGCGCTCGCTATCTCCCGTCCGGTGACTCATCACGCGCCTCCCATCCCGTCCCTTTGTCCCCGCGAGCCACAGCTGGAGGTGGATCAGTCGGGAGAACGATTGGGGTAGGTGGGGTGGGTGAGACAGCGGGGCGCTAGCGAGAGTTTCGATCACAGGTCAAGTGTGAATCGTAAAGGAAGCATGGACTCGAAGAAGTAGATACATCACAATAGCTGACATTACTATGCAATGTTTCCAACAGTGGAGCCATTAGACGAGTCGATACAGTGTAGCACAGTGGTTGGTCTGATACCATCCTATCGGAAAGATACGATGTTTGTCCAATGTCCAACAAGATACCCTGACATCAGATTCTGAGTTAGATCCAAAGATCACACGACCGACAGGCAGCCGACGGAAGGAGGCTATCAGCATGAGTCGCGAGACAAATTCACTCATCCGTAAAAAGGTCAACAAATAGGGAAATGCCATAGGTCATCATGATCTGCTCACATGACTGACGAAACAGAGTCACCTACCTTCTCAAATCTCAACCATATCAAATAAAGACGCGTCCTATACTTCATAGAACGCCGACCATATCCAGTCGCCTGGTATTCTTCTCTTCACCCGCCCACGCTCCCGACACAAGCCACACATCCCAAACGCCACAACATCGCCAATTCCCTACGGAGCATCCGTCTGACAGGAATGAAAACTTGACAGCCCCTCCCCGCTCGCAGATCAAAGTAGCCACGCCGCGTCTTCCGCTGTCCCCGCGACTGGCCTCCAGGCATCGGGCGAACGTCCGAGATGTCACCACTCGAGCGCGGGTCGCCGCGGGCCGGGGTCGGGGTGGGGGGGGGGCGTATCTGCAGAGTGGCTAAACACTGTTCAGTGCAGATCGGTCCGTCGAACGGGTGTGTCGAGAGGAGGGAGACGGAAGGATGGACCAAGATCGGGATGGACAGAAGTTGGTGATAAAGAGAGTTGAGGCTCGATGGGAGTCATATTCTGTCTCGTTCGTGCGTGAAGTATGTGGATAACTGGAAATGGAACAATGGGATTGGTAAAAGTGTCGCAGGAACCCCTATTAAACAGAAACAATGTTGACCATGAAGACGTATTGTTCACGCAATTTGTACGCGTACCTATGATGCGTGAAACACGAGAACAGTATCAGTCATGCCACACATCACGTGACAACAGGCCATCAGACTACGACACCAGCGCGGACATCACGTGACATAACGATCGAACCGCAGTATCCCACACAAAGTAGCGTGAAACTTGAAAGCGTGGCCGATGTGAGAACTTACAGGAACAATTTACAATACCACGGCCTCGGCATATGAGCGGAGTGCGCCGCTTTGTCAGCCGCTGCAAGATACAACCGTGCAACACTGGCAGTCATTGTTCGCGCCAGGCCTGACAGCCTTGCTAAACGGTCGCGTAGACACAAGTGTGGGAAAACTCCCCCATTTGGCCCATTTGAACATGAGTCACGTTTCATTCAGCGTCGGCTGCAATAATAATGTCGTGCTGCATGCCAGCTATCGCATTCCAGCGTCGGACATGGCCGGGGACAGTGCGTTATTAATTGCTGAGTCCCGTCGCCGGGTGGGGTGGCGGTCCGTCGACTAAGCGGCGTCGTGTTCGCCACGCCCGTGCGTCGCCACTACATCGCCCCAGTCGAGCTCGGGCCAACGTACGTACGGCCGGCATCGAGCCGACGACGGCTCGGCCGGTGTACCACACCGTGCCAAAAACAAACCCCGCCGCCGCAAACAACAGACACAATGGAACGGGGAAAACGCGCCGCCACACCACCAGCCGGCCGAGGGAAGAGCGGGCAAGGCGTCATCGTAGCCCCCGGGCGATGGAAAGTCTGTCCGCCGACCGCCGGCACAGTCGCATTTTCGTGAATACGCCGCACGGCTCCCACGGACTGACATCGGTCGTCGTGATTGGCCATCATGAGCTAGACACTGGATACTAGACATGAAATACGGGCGTGCTTCCCTCAGCAATGGCGGCGACACGACGGACCTGCTTTGCCAGGCCGGGACGGGGCGGAGCGGGACGGGGTGAGGTGGGGCGGAGCGGGCTGGGGCAGCGGCGCCGACCATCTGTAACAATCACAGCCAATCCGATGACGGACGATGTCGCCATCAGGCGGTCCGGCGGCGCCCCCCTCTCGTCCGTACCCCCGGGGGGCGCTGCAGCCAGCGGCCCACCGCCTAACACACGGCATCGCACGGCGCCCCGCGGCCATTAGCCAGACAGCCCTACGTCGCTGTGTCAGAGCCCCGGGAAGGAAGAGAGGGAGGGTGCACCGATAGCGATGTCAGCACCGGCAGAGGAACTGTCAGCGGTCCTACCGTCAGGATGAGGTGGTGATAACAAGCTGGAGTCGATGGGCGCTGGCACAGCAGCCGCTAGTAACTTGGTATGCATCATGGGCAGCGGGCACCTATCAAGGGTATAAATCCATATATCTATAAATACGAGCGTGACGCTATAATGCTTGCAATATTTTCCAAATCTCATGAAACAGGCCGCTGCACAGATATCGGCTCAATGACATTCTAGCAGCCACCATCACAATTTCAATGGAGGCGGTGGTCGACCATCCATATTGAGCGACCCAGTGGCGAAATCTGCCCCGGCGCGGCGGCCACCGCCCACACCCTCGCCCGGGGCGAGCGCCCACGGCATGGAAGCGGACGTATTTGGGGACCCGCGTGGGACCGCGCCCAGAAATAGTCGCCGTCGGAACCGGCGGGTGGGGAGAAAAGTATGACGAAAACCATGAGCTCGAGATTACATTGATGGAGCGAAAATAGATATAACGCGAGAGAAACAGGCTTTCAGCTATTTTAAACCAATTGAGTTCAATCATTTCTGAACCAGGCTCGAATGAACAATAAACCAGTACAATAAAATAGAATAAAGCAGAAAAATACCAACAAACCACTAAAAGTATCTTGCCCAGTAGAAGTTTCATCTTGCCAACTCAGCTGCGACTTGGGTTGGCGCCGGCACACCATGGCCAGATCGGTTCGGGTCGGAGAGAACGAACCTGTTGTGTACCGAAAGTATACCCGATGCGCTCTCAAATCACCGGATATAAATTCCCACAGACCAACTCACAGCGCCGTCTCTCTGGCTCAGCTCTATCATCTGATCGATCTAATCAAATACGTTAGCAGCACTCAAAGCGGCCAATGCTCAACCCAGAACCACCCAACGACCCAATGAGAGACGAGGTTCCACTCAACCGGAGACAATCCAATGAACATGATCGGGTGATCAGAGTAACATTGACGGGCTCCGTTCCGATGACGCAATACAATGGCTTCCCGCTGAGGTCGGGACGGGCCCTGTCGGCGAGATATGAGGCCGTAGGAAATCATCAGGCCGATCGCAGTGACGAATTGATAGTAACGCTAATGAGCATGGGCTGTTTGGGCCGACCACAAAGCGGAGTTGACTGACGACTGTGAACACGGTGAAGTCATGCGGAAAGGAAAACCAGACGACCAAACTTCATACATGCTGCTTCTTCCATTCCAGCACTGCATGGTTGAATAGAGGAGCCTTCACGCTTACTGATGAGATTCAAGCAATCAGCGTTAATTGGTTAACCTGGTACTTTCAGTGATCATAAAAGAAACATTTCAAACACAACACAAACATACCCATCACATACTTTACATAACTAGCTTTCGTGCCAGTAATGTCCTCGCAGGTGGCAATTAATGAGGATAACAACGACATAACAAGCACCGTACCGACAGCGGCCCTGTATCATCGTTATGCAGATGTTTCCCGAGTTTCCCGGCCCCATAAGTCATCGTCTGCCATAACCAACTACCGTCTCCGCGATGGATAGGCCCCGACCAGCGTGTTCTCACAGCTTGACGCGTCGATTTCACTAGACGCCGGCTGCCGTGGAAGTCCATAATGTAAATATATAATCGACTTCAGAAGTCAATGCGGGGCCACGACACAGCGAACGAGAAGGCGAATTGATACTGGGAATGGCTATGGATACTGCTCGACGCCGCCTCAATACGAACACT